GCATAACTCCCATCTCCACTAACTATTTGAAGCAATGTTTGAAAATTATTACAAAGCACCGAAATATGTTACAGTTTTATACGTAGGGCTAGTCGGGAATATGTTTAATAAGCAGAGGTTGCGTTCCGGCTGTCACATGATCTCAAAACCAGTATTTAAAAACTGAAACGTTTACGTGTTATTTATTGAAAATGCATGAAATTACGATAAATACTGCGACTGTAATATATTCTGCTTACCTGAGTATATTTGACTTCTGGAAGTTCCATTATAAGACTGGTGAATTCAGGTGGACTTCACTTGGACTTCAGCTTGACGATACTGTCAGTTGTGTTGCACTATTGAACTCCACGACTTCTCATCCAGGGTTCGTCCAGCACAGGCTGATTGGTGGCGTATTTTCCAATATGACAATAAATCTAAAAATTATAAAAACAAACTTAGAACCTACAGATTGCTGAAAAAGGATTACACCTATAAGAAATATTTAATCCCAAACATAGGTCAGCCCTAACGAAATTACGCACAAGTGTCAATACCTTACAGATAGAAATACATTTACATTGACCATAGTAAATGCAAAGTAGGCTATCTTGGTGAAGAAGAAGACGAGAAACACTTTCTGCTAAAATGCAAACTGCACCAAGAGGAGAGGATTAAACTGTTCACTGAACATAACTTATCCTCAGCTGGTGTAACTGAGGAAGAAAAAAAGATAACAATTCTTACCTCTACCGACAACAAAGAAATTACTGATTATGAAATTATGATTATAAAAATTCATTTTTAACTGCTTTAAGGTAGCGAGACTATTATTTGTGTTGAAAATTATAATTTTCACATTTTTGTATTAATTGATGAAATGCGCTATGAACTTTCATATGATAAAGTAAACATAACATAGAATGTCATGTAAGTTGGTTAAAATGTTGATTTTCTGAAGGGAAGCAAGGCAGCCTCAGTAGTGTTTCAAAAATCAACAACACAAATATGTGTGCCTATAAGTTCCAAAGATTAAGTGGATGTGTTATCAGTAGCTTTCTGAATGAGTGTTTCCAAACACTTGAGTGGTTTGTCTCCGCCCCTGTTTGTTTCACAGATTAGTCATTTGCACATGAATGTGTCAGACCCAAGGTCACACAACCATTGAAAAAAATCATTGATTTTGGTGTTCTCATCTGCCGATTTTATCGAATTGTAGCTATTCCATTCCTTTATTTTTCTGGTTTCCAATAGCCTTACACATTTGGATGTCCCTACACATGTTAAAACAGACCTTGAAGAGAAAAAAATGATTGTGCCGATAAATATACTTAAATATAGCAAATCTTTGCTGTGACTTCATGAACGTTTTCTAGGAGTTTATTTTTTTTCAAAATACAAGGTCTTTAACAAAAAATAACGTATACTTATTGTCGTCGGATTAACACCAAATTTTCACAGCTATAAAGTGACAATGAGAGGAACTTGAATGTGTCCAGACAAACTATTTTGTGGATTATTTACCAACGTGTTGTAGTTTGAGTTGGGGGCAATGCGACTAAAACGGAAATTAAAATTCAGGACACTACTTTTTAAAACGTATTACTTGAATAAAACTGACCAGACACATTCAATTTACCAGACTATTGAACAACTAGGAAAAGTTAAAAAAATACTTTTTATCACGAGCATAAATGCGTAATTAATTTTTTACAGAAAAAGTTATTGTTTACCTTTGATTGAGTAACGCGTCGTAGAATGCAGATACGGGCATGACAAACACACTTTTGAAAAGCTTGAAGTCCGGCGATTTCAAAAATATATAAACTTTCCTGGATCCTTTTGTAGTCATTTAGTCACAATTAGAAGATGAAAACAAGAATGCAAATAATAGTCTCGCTACCTTAACTGCAGAGATATTGCCATGAAAAAAAACACCAGCTTCCCCAAAATAATCATTCGTTTCTTGTATTGTTTTTTGTTCTGTTTCACTTATTGATTTAATTTTCTAATTGTTTACTTTAGTTTGTTACTTTTATAGCTAGCTGTTGTTTATTTAAACAACATACTTTATTTTGTATATTTATTTATTAACACTTACTCACTCCCCGGAGAGAGTGGCAATGGTTACAGATATTAGTAAAAGTATACAGTATTAATACACTAATAAGGAAGTAATAAAAAAATCTACAAAAACAGATAATTAATGGAAAAAAATAATAAAACAACTTCTTCAAATCAATCCAAAATTTGTTGTCTAATTTCAAAGCACTTGTTGATATACTGTGCTACCTGGATGACAATACTATCATTATTTAACAGTGCAGTGAACTGTTCTACAGGAGGCAGGTTGTGAAAGGAGTCAATCACATCAGCCGCTGTATTGAACAGAACACTGCGTCTATTACTGTATTTGGGACACTTACCATAAAATGAAATTCATTTTCAATGGTATCTTGGTTACACATGTCCAAACCCTGTTTTTGAGTCTGCCAGTCTCAATCTTGAGGGCATGGTCACTCAGACGGAACTTAGCCAGACTAGTTCTCAAATCAATGTTTTTGATATTGATGAGATATGATTCCATACTGATATTGAATTTAAATGTTCTGTAAGTTCTGAGTTTGTTTTTTCCCTCAGACTTTTCACGAATATCACTATGGATTTCTTCTTTCCAATGGAATGTAAATTTATGTTTGAGGTCGGACTTGATGATATTTATGTCTGTTGAAGTTAATTTATCACTTTTATTAATTAAACATTCTTCTTTAATATTCTTCAGCAAATCTGTAATTTCCAAATACCACATAGTTTTTAGGCTTTTATTAACTGAAAAAGCTTCTTTAAGGGAAACATTTTTAGTTATCTTAATGCTATTGTAATATTTTATTAATTGATTTTTAATAAATATATCCAAAGGGTATCTCCCCAACTCGCTGTAAATTCCCATAATTGGGGTTCTTTGTGAAACTTGAAGGAGATATCGACAGTATTGAACATTAATGTCCTCAACTGGTGATTTGGATGAGAACTCGCCACCCCATACTTCACTACCATAAACAAGAATCGGTCGTATTAGTTTGTCAAAAAGCGATAGCGAAAAGGTGATGAACAAATTGTGTATTGCGCCTAATTTAGTTTTGAGAGAAAACAGTGTTTTTTGAGCCTTTTTCTTATGGTGCTTTAGAGCTTCCTTAAATTTTCCATTTGCACTGAATATTAAGCCAAGATAATGAAATGTTTTGACTGTCACAATTTCACTGCCCCTACTTTATTTACTTTACGTCGTTTCTTGAGGGCGCCACCAAGTTTAATTTCTAATATTTTCTGGTGGCGACATTT